ACAAAGTGAACTTACAATAGCTTCATTATATCAGCTTTCATCCGACATCCCTTGGCGATCCCCCTCGCCCTATAGCGCCCCTTCCGCCGTGGCTCTAAATGCCCGTCATCAGATTTGGGCAAATAATTCACATGGCACTAATTGAATTAGTTGACTGACTTTTGAGGTTGATGCGGCTACAGCTGCTGCTGCTGCTGCTGCTGCTGCTGCTGCAGATGATGCTGCTAGTGATGATGATGTAGCAGCTGTTGTTGCAGTCACTAATGCTGCTGGGCGCCAAGGGAAATTTACCGTTACACGCAATGAACTCACAAAATAATGTAAAGTGAACAGTTAACAAGTTGTACTCGAAATAAGTTTGCCAAGTTCACTTTTGCTCTATTTAATCAGCTCAAACTTTTTTTGTTTTTGTGTGTTTTCAGCTCATTAATAGCAAAAGTCAAGACCTTGTTTCCGTTTCATCTGGTTAAACGTCTGGAGCTGGTGTCAGAGTGCGAAGGGCTTCTCCACTTTGCTCTCGTTTGCAATGTCTGAGAGAATTGTCAACAGATTTGTAACGATTCAACCAATTAACCTTTTGTTTTCGATCTCTTACGAAAGTTTGTAGAGTGACGGTTGCTCGTACTCTGCGGTAAGTATATAGAAATATGGGTAAACCTTATATTACTCGTTTAGCTATACATTTATTGTATGCAATTGTTTACTCTCTCGCTCCCTCTCTCTCTCTCTCTCTCTCTTTCTCTGCGTCTCTCTCTCTCTCTTTCTCTGTCTATTTTTCCCTCCATTTAATTGTCTCTTTCTCTATGATATATGTACATTTAAGCCTTATATTTTTCCTTTAGCGAAATGTTCAACCTAATAACTCTTGATTTCCATGGTAAGTGCATTAAATATTCGACAATCTGTCATATTTCTGCCCATATTTTCAGCATTGTTCTGCTCAACTTTTGGCTGGCGAGCACAGCTGTTGCCGCCAGACTAATAAACAGCTGTCTAAGGCGCCTCCTTGCACGCATTCCACAGCATTGAATTACAAAGGCAACCCGAAACGGAATGCCCAACATGTTTATAGTGTACATTACTACACATACACACACACACATGCCCGAATATTTATGTGTAAGCAAATGAACAGCAGTTGGCACCTCTAGAGCAAATATGGTTTTCATTAGGAAATTTTTATATTTCACTCAACTAAAAAGCCAATAAAAATGAGAGAGTCATAAAAATGTAGGCACGTTTATATGGCCAGCACTGTATTAGGGGCGAGTCCTTGACTGTCAATGCCCGGCAATTAAATCGTAACTGAGCTGTCGCCGTGATTAACTTAGACAAAAGGCAGCTTGATTAGTGAACGGTTCGATGTCAGCCAGGTAAATAAAATATTTAAGCAAATTACGTCAAGAGAAGCAAAAGATTTGCAAATCAATGCAAACAACTGGACAAGCAACATGTGTGGAAGAGGAAGACACAAACTGAGCGAGGAGAGAGAGGTGGTGGTAGAAGCTGAATAAGAAACTGAAAGCAAAAGCTTTTGTGATATTAATTAAGCAAATTTACGTTGAAAGATGTCAGTGTGCCACAAGGATGCAAAAACGTGTTTTGATTTTATATATTAGAAATTGAATTTGTATATATGTATATGCAAAGAAACAGGAAAAACAAGTAGACGATCGAGTGCTGAGCAGCCAAAACGAATTGCAAATGCTCTTGATTTAAGCAATTGGTATTCCAATTAGAGAGTGTGCAAGCTTATTTTTAACAGGATCATAAATGAGTTGGAATAACGTTATTGGAATGTAATACATATTTAAGTATTGGTGAACTATCGAACAGAAATGTAAATAAACAGCATTCCTATTAGCTTGCTTCCATTGGAAAGCTCAGCATTATAGAAACTAATGGGATTCATGGAATGTAATGTTTTCAGGTTTCCTAACATTGTTAGGAAATGTTGATTAACATTAACCCCAATTAGTGAGAATGACAGCAGTAAACAAATGTTAAGCATGCTTTGCATATGCTCCAATTGGATTGCTACTGTCGGAATTTTATGTACTGAAATTTAGAGCAGAAAAAGTTAGCAAAACTTTAAAAAGTTAAAATGTCTAGTCAATATACCCCATTTAATCTAGGGTATGCATATTTATAGACATATTCAGCTAGCTGGCTGGAGCAAATGTTTAATGAAAGTGCAGCAGCAGCTGGCAACAAGTTGCACGCATGCGCATTAGAGCGAGACAATGAGGCGGAGTGAAAGAGTCAAAGTGAGAGAGAGTCTGAGAGGGAGAGGCAGAGACAGAGGCACAGACGATAGTAGATAGACAATGTGCATATGGCAATGCTTTAGAATTTTACTAGCTGTTGTTGTTATTGCTGTTGTTGTTCTTGTTCAGTTTCATGATTTCATGTAACCGGTTTTTCGGGTACAACAGCATCAACAAGTTGCGACTCCCATGAGAGCAGCCTTTGCTGCTGCTGCTGCGGCCGCAATGGCTGCAACTTGGGTTCATTGTTTACACAGACATAGCTGTTATAGCAGTTTTGTTGTTTATTATTGTTGTTGTTATTATTCTTCGCGTTGTCGTTGTTGTTGTTGTTATTGTATATGTGCTTTACTCTTTGTTTGCTACCTACTTACTTACGTGCCAGCCTATCTAACTGCGCTCCCCTTTGCCGCTCCTTCTCTTGGTTTAATTACATTTTTTTCATTTCTGTTTTTCTTTTTTTTTTTCAACGAAACCACTTCACATATAACGGAAGTTGTACAAAAGCCGCAAGAGAGACCGGCTAAAAAAAKAAAATRAATAATAAAAGGAATGAAAGACAGAGGAGTAAAGAAGGCAAAATAATATGGCCTGGCCAGAGCTGAGAAGTTGCCACAAGCGTGTGTCACACACAGGCAACGCGGCTCAAAGGGTCAAAATGTGTTCAGCTACGAGTTTAAGGTTTAAGGCCAAAACCGTTCAATTCTTTCGAAACTGGAAACTTTCAGAAGAAGAATATACTTCAATTTTAGGTGATGTGTTGCTATTTGTTATTTGTTTTTAAATTTGTATCAAAATGTTTTACTTTATTTATATTTTTGTTTGACAATACCCAATCAGCATATATACATATTGGTTTAATTGTGGAGGAGCTTAACAGTGATAAACCTGTGAAAACTGTTAATGATCCTAGCTTTCAAAATGTTACAGCTAGAAATATTCCAAAGTCCAACAGTTCCAATAAGAGAAGCTTAATAACATGGCTTTTGTCTGTTTTCTGATTTTTGTCGGCCTTTAAAGTTTACGCATTTGCCAGTGCTTACTACAATTGAAAGTCAATTTATATTATGTTTTTGAACGATTTGTCTACTTGAAATTGAATTCAAGGATTCGCGTAACACTGAACGCAGTTTGCATAATTTAGGAAAGTATTTCTATGGCTAAGCTTAAAAACTAGATTAAACAGGTAATTTATATACTTATAGTGCGCATTTGATATAAAAGCTTACCTCAATAACAAGTTAGAGCAACAAGTGACATTGACGCTGACGCCTGCTATTGTTGTTGTTGCAGTTAGATTCAATGTTGCATTCAATCAAAAAATATAATAAAAAAATCGCTCACACACATACACATAGATCACGCTGCAATTGTAGAAAATTGTATTTATTATATGAACACGTTGAGCACTTTCACGGCGCACAAAAAACAATTAATTGACTAGATTTTTTATTTCTTCTCTGCTTTATGCAGTTTGCCTATCAACAGCTGGCAGGCTGCACACATTTATTTTTCTTCTTC